TTTCCTGATAGTTCCTTTGAAATCTTTGTCAGATAATTCCAACGTTTCTGCCTTTGGGTGTTAGTATCTACTGATTTCTTTTCTCACATAAGACAAGATTTTCCTGGTTCTTGTTATGCCAAGTAACTTTGGATTGCATCTTAGAAATTCTGTGTATTGCATTATGAAACTCCGGTTCCTCTTTAAATATTCTATTTTAGCAGTCAACACATTTAGATCTAGAACACTCATCCTGGCCCATTTTTGTGGGCTATAGTTTAAATGTTAATTTAACTTTTGAACCTTTGCTGTACTATTCTGGTCAGTCCCACTGTGCACAACCAAGAGGCCAGGTTGAAACCTGGGTGGTTTTCCACCCTGTAGTTCAATTCTGAAGGCTTCTGCTGTGTTGATTCTGGGCATTTTAGTGCTTGGGCCACTCAGAGATGAGCCTGGACTTCATACTTAGATTTAACAGGTCTTTTTCTTTTTCTTTTCCTGCTCTGTCCTTTCCATCATCCTCTCCCAGTTCTCTTTTGGAAGGGGGAGGGGAGGCTGCCTCTTGGCTGCTTAGGGCTGGGTGGACGTCATCAGCAGAGTCCCACTCCACAGTCTCTCAACACAGCACCTGGAGGCTTGAGCAGGAGTGCTGCCTGAGCACGCATTTACTGGATGGAGAACAGGAATAGTGGACAGGACTCCTTCCACAGTCTGCTGACACTGCAGAAGTGGAAAGGGGGAGGGCATCCACTTCTTTGCTGACCATCACTTAGTGCAGAGTGGGGATGGTGACTGGGCTCCATCTCACAGACTCAGTGGTGGGTGGGCAGTGGGGCACATTGCATCTTTCATAGTATTTGCCTCTCCTTGGAGAGTTATAGTCAAAAAGTCTCCATCCTGTAGGGCCATCCTCTTTCTGGTCCTTTGTTGAGAGACAGTGGGATTTTCTTGGGTCTTTCGTTTTGTTTTTTGTTTCTGTCTGTGTCTGGTAGTGATTCCAGGTTGTGGGCTGCTCTAACTCTCACATCAGGATATACAGCAGGAGAAGAGACAAACCAAAACCTACTCCAAGGAACATACTGCTGGGCTGCCCTTCAAGTCCCAAGTTCTATAGCCAGTCTACTGTCTTCTCTTCACCCTTTAGAGTCTACTGGTAGGTGCTTTATATGTTTTCTGTTGTAATTAGCAGGAGGAATAGAGCGGAATTCATTTATTCACATCTTCAATGGAAAATGTACTTAGTTTCTTCCTGACAATTCCACTGTATGAATTTCCTGTGCCACGAGCGGTGACTGTTGATTTCTGCTTATAGTATATGTTTCCTCATGGGTTTTATTAGTTTGGTTTGTGAACTTAAATCAAAGTAGGGTTTTCTCTGTGTCACAGGTCACACTGTGTTGTTCAAGAGGTGTTTGGTGTTTGCTTATGCCTGGTGATTTATGTAGAAGGTCTCAGTTTCAGTTACTGTAATTAAAATCATGTGGTAAAAGGATGGACATATGGATTACAGAAACACAATGTCCAGAAATTGACCCATACACCTATGGTTAGTTGATTTTTTGACAAAGATGCAAAGGCAATTTGATAAAGAATAGTCTTATCAAACATGGCACTGGAACCACTGGACAAACATACTTTGAAAATGGACCAAGGTTCATACATTATACACAAAATTTAACCCAAAATGGGTCCAGACCTGAACATAAAACATAAGACTATAAAGCCTCCAGAGGAAAAAATAGGAGAAAATATTTGTGCCTTGGATTACACAAAGATTTATTAGATAGAACACAGGAAGTATGATCCATAAAAGGAATAAATTGGTAACTTTCATCAAAATTTAAAACACATGCTTTTCAAAAGACACTGTTAAGAGAATGAAAAGATAAGTCACATGCTGGGAGAAAATATTAGTAAAACTGAACTTGTATCTAGGATATATACTTTTCAAATCTCAATAATAAAACAACTCAGTCAAAAATGGGCAAAAGACTTGAGTAGGTACTCCATCAAAGAAGATATACAGATAGCAAATAAGCACACGAAAAGGTGTTCATCAGAAGTCATGAGGGAAATGCAAATTAAAAGCACAATGAGATGCTGCTCCACTCATTAAGAGGGATAAAACAAAAGAAACCAATACCAAGGGCTGGTGAGATTGTAGAGTACCTTGGAGCTCTCAGACATTGCTGGTGGAAATGCAAAACATTACAGTGACTCTGGAAGACAGTCTGGCAGCTTGTTATAGAACCAAACATTATTTACCACACAATATAGCAATCCCACTTACGGCATTTGCCTGAGAGAAATGAAAACTTATGTTAACACAAAAAACTATGTGAATATTTGCAGCAGGTTTATTCATAATTGCTTCAATTTGGCAACAATCCAAGTATCCTTCAGCTGGTGAATGTGTAAGCATACTGTGGTGCATCCATATTAAATAATTAAAAGAAACAAAATACTGATACATGTAGCACCACGGCTGAATCTCACATACAAATGCCAAGTGATAGAAGCCAGACTCAAAGGGCTACATCCATTCTGAAAAAAGTCAGAAAGTCCTGGGAAACAAAATAAGCCTGGAGGTGGGGGCTGACTACAAAGGGGCATGAGGGAATATTAAGGAGTTTAGAATTGTTCTGTGTCTTGATGGTGGTGCTTACATGACTCTATGTGTTTGTCAAAACTCTTTGAATGCACACCAAAAATAATAATTTTACTTTATGTAAGTTATACCTCAATATATCTGGCACTTAAAAGAAGGTATCAAGCCTCATTAATGGAAATCAGCAGAATTTCACACTTTTTCACCCCACGGAGAGTTCAGGATTTACAATTATTGAAGAATTAGTAGTATTTGTCTAGTTAAGGGACAGATGAGTGGGGCCTGGGGTGGTGGGGGAGGGCAACCTAGAAAATGGCTCTATGAGCAAAGGCAAGCAGGTGTGGCTGGCATTTTGAGAGGAGGCACCAATGGCCTGGAGGACACCCAGACAAGAAACTCCTGCAGCAGTTATGAAAGCAGGCTGTGCAATTAGTCTGAATTTAAACCTGGCTCTTCCACTGCCTATCTTTGTGACCTAGGGTAAATCACTTTGCCTGTCTGTGCCTCGAGTTCCATCTGTACAGAGAATGATAGCTACATGCCTTATGGTGTTGAGGTGAACTAATTAATACTTGCAAAGTGCTTAGAATAGTGCAAGCATACAGTAAACGCTCAATTAATGTTAGCTATTATTATCCATTTGCTCCCTCAACACACCTTCCCTGAGTACCACCTTGTGCCTGGCCCTGAAGATTGGGCATTGGACACCTGGAATAGAGTCATCTTTGGATGATCTTAGATCTACTGAGGGAAGGAGACAGACGGGAAACTGACAATGCAGGGGTAAATGCTAATGGTTGAGGGGAAACATAAAGGTTATGGGGGCAGAAAACCAAGGAGGGAGAGAGTATCTTTGTGCTGAGGGTGAGTGTTTACCCAAGGAAAGCCCAAAGAAGTGGTGACTTTTGAGTGGGGTTTTGAAAGGTGAGTTGGGAGTTTGGTGAGTATAACCCTGAATACTTTTGTGCACCTATGAAAGTCAGAGTTCAAGGAATGTTTGAAAATTCTTGGGGAAAAAAGAAAAAGGAAAACAAGTTTATTGGTAATAGATGAAGCTTTAAAGGGAGTAGGGCTGAATTAAGAAGAACCAGATCAGATGCCATGAGGGCCACAGAAGGATTTTAAACGAGGGGCAATGACACGATCAGATCTTGTTTTGGATGGACCTGCTGACTGTGGAGGAGGCTGACTGCAGTGAGACAGTGAGGGGACTTTTATGCTAAGTCCCAGAGGCCTAAGCGGGGGCAGGGGAATGGCAATGGACATGAGAGGACAAATTCAGGGGAGGATTTGGAGGTGGGTAGTTGGATGTAAAGGGATAAAGTTGTTATTGCCTGAGCTAGGACTAGAACTCAGGTTCACCAATTCTTTCAATTGCTGTCTGCGTGTGGTACTGAGGGTACAAGGTGAGCAGGTCCCACCCCAGCCCATGGGGTTCTGTCTGGTAGGGAAGAGTCTTGGAAAGATTAGATTGTAATGAGTGATTTCAGGGAGGGCAGGGTCAAGTGTGTAGAACAAGTAAGGGCTGATAAGGTAGGAGGTGGTGGTTTGAATGTGTGCTGGGATTTTAGTTCCACTGAGGGATGGCACCACAACAGCCACAGGGGTGTGTAACTGTCAGGGAAGCAGTTGGACTTTGCAGCAAGAGATGAGATCTGGAGCAGATTGGAAAGCCTTGAAGGTGCTCAAAGGCCTCTTCTCCTAGAGTTCTCTAGAAGCCAAGTTCTTAGGCTGACCAAGTTAGTGTGATGGTTCATTATATGTCAACTAGACTGGGCTAGAGTGCCCAGACTACTCATGTTTATCTAGAACTATTTACTTATGTAGTTACTGTCTCATTCCTGAGTCCCCCACTCCCTAAGCTATTAGTCCTGACCTTTTATTTTTATTTTTTTTACATCCATTATATTGTTTATTTATTCATAACAAGTCTCTAAATAAGAATGTTCACATCCATTGTATCCCCATTATATAGAAGGAAAAATTGAGATCAAAGACATTACCTAACTTGTGCAAGTGCACGCAGCAAGTAAATTGACCTTTTATCTTTTTAAAAAATTTGAAGTATTATACGTATGTGTCTTTTAATACAAGGCACTGAAAATCCCTTTTGGAAGCAACATATAGTGTATCCCAAGAATGTACTAGGTGAGTTTGTAGATTTATGCAGGATTGTCTACAAATTTATGGTTTGTTAAGACTTCCTGTTGCTGTTAACACAAAAGCAGGGGCATAGCTTTAGGACTGAGTTAACTTGTTTAGTGCATTTTCCAATTAGATCAACTTTTCTTTCCCTCTATCAATAATTGCCTATCAGAGTCACTGACCTTGAAATTTCTAAGTAGAGTCTCTTACATGTTGCATTGGTTTTGTTCCTAGTGATCACACATATATAGCAATCACATGATCACACTTAATGTTCTGATGGTTTTTATTAACAAGTATATAATACATATATTGCATACTGTATATAGTATATGAGGACTGTACAGTACAAATTTATGTTCACAGTTTGACATGACAAAATGTCATTACTGAATTCCCATTGGACTACAGAGTAGAAACAGAGAAGGTACATTAAACATTCACATCTTTAGTAAGAAAGATTACCAAAATGTTTCAGTATTTGCAAGTATACTAACGCATGCTAAAAACCTTTACCCACTCAGTCTTATTAGCTTATAAAATATATTACACTTTATTAAAAATTTCTGCATAGTTTATACAAGTAGTAAAGTACTGTAAATGTAATAATCCTGCTATACTTGCAGGTGTGGTTTAAGAGATGCTAAGCAGAAAGATTATTTTGACCCTCTAACACTAAGTACATAACAGCCAAAAAAAAAAAGTGCTAGTATTTGTAAAACATAGTATTGTTGTAGCCCTCATTTAATGCATGTAAAATGGCTTTGTAAATGTATTATTTCTTAAGTGAATTTGCTATCATTGAGAAATTGTTAACCTTGACTGAGAAAATAAAGACAACTCTGAGCAACTTCATGTATGACAGTAATTCCTTCAAGATGACTGTATTTTCAAACCAATCATTTCAAAACCTCAGATCTTTGAGATTGTCTTTAAAACAATCTAATCAAGGATGACAGGCAGATATACAGTATCAGAAATACAGTCTTTCAAATTCCACATTAGTGCAACACTGATAGTGCAGACGGGTGTTTAATAAAATATACATATACATATATAGTTCCCCTGTATATCTGTTCCAAGGCTCTTGAAATTTCTGTGTATTTAGCATTTCCTTGGTTGAACATAGCTATGCTGCTAACACATTCTCCAATCCAGGTGATTTAGAATGTTAATGCCCATTTATGATGTAGATTCACATTTTAGAAATCTAACATATACTGGATTCAGATTTTATTTTTCTGAATTCTTCTCCAAGCTGACACTTGGATAATCAAAGAAATTCTCTAACAAACAGAACTTACACAAACTAACTCCATGTTTACAAATCATTCTCATCAATTTAAACTTGCAATTAAAATCACCATTGATAGTAACATGGCACATCATTAAAACCACATATTCAAGGGCATCTTATCTTATATTTGAGGTCTTCCATGATAACAGCTAAAAATGACTAAGAGACTAAATTTCTCAACTAACATAGTAAAATACAAATATATATAAAAAAGGAAAATTTGCTTAAGAGCCAAGTGGTAACTAAGGTATACAGACCAGCGTGGGAACAGAGTATGGTCTCTCTGGGCTGCTTTTCTTTGAGTTAAAATGGAAATTTGTTAATAAACGGTTAATATAATCTAAGCAAACTGAATAGCATAGTCTTTGCAGTCTTGCTCTTTTGAAGCAAGAATTTAAATATGCCATAGCAAACACATCAGGTTTCATGAGAACTCATGAAGCTTTCTATGAACTGGACTCACACTCAAAGCTAATTATTTAAAGATTAATTCTACCCTTTCTTGCCCCTCTTCCTACAACTACATCAGAACACATAAACTGGTCATCTCCATCAAAACAAAAAAGTTCCTTACGTTCCAACTTCATTCGTGTGTTGTGGAAGAACCATATCAAGAAATAGACACTCTGGCATGAATGTGACTAAGTACAACATAGATGATACCTACTTTTCCCAGAGCCATTTTTATCCCTCAATTAACATCATAATTGCAAAAAAAAAAAAGAAAGAAAAAAAGCCCAATTAGGTTGCTTTAATATTAACAGATTTTGCAGTGCTTACAAAAGAACATCAGAACCAAGTGCAAAGATAACAATTTACTTTGCGTTTCTTGACTACATTTCTTTTCAGGTGGTTCACAGGGCCAATGAGTGGGATCTCTTAGGTGCACAGTCCCTACAACCAACTTTCACTAACATAGTGCCATCCAAGTTCAGCTCCCCACACAATTTGCAGGCCTCAAGAATCACTCATTCTCTGATGTTTTAAGAACAATTAAACACAATGCATCCCCCAGTTAAGGCTGTGCTGGATCCTGATTTGTGGCTGGGATGAATCTTCAGGATTCCATTCTTCTCTCTTCTCCTCCACCCTTTATCGAGGGATGAAGGCACATTTGGCTATACACACCCACATTTGACCACCATCACCCACTTTCTTCAAATTTAGGACCAATGGCATTTTTATGCATGAATTATTTTTATTGGCATTTAGACTATAGTGCTCAAAAGCCAGCTTTTGAAAAAAACTTCCCCCAAATGATGGTGCTATTTATCCTCAACATAAACACGAGTCATTTTCAGGTTCTTCTGACAGGATACTTGATAGTGATAGGAGATTAACGGTTACTGTTAGTTCTAACAGTAAACTTTTGGGAATATATACACACACACACACACACACACACACACACACACACATAAATCCCTGAACTGTGGTTGTCTATATCTTTCAGAAATCTGTGCCTCAGGTAAAGGTATGTGTGCTTCACAACCAGTTATAGTTACAAATAATGTCACTCAGGCCTTAAATTGAATCAATCTACAAAAGCATTAGCAGATGTCTATTTATGATATGTGTCATGAACACAAATGACAGTTTGGCACCTTACAGCTCATACAGAAGAGTTTCTGTATAAAAGCTATATGATTAATGTGGCATGGGAATACAATTACCACTCAACGCTTCCCTGTTTGCAAAAGAGCTCTTAGTAGTTTGGGTAAAAGAAAGGCCGTCCATATTCTTACCCAAAATATTTTTTTTTACCATTAGTGGGCAAATATTTCTGTGGTATCCCTATCAATGCTTGATGATCCACATTAAGGACATCTAGGAATGGAGACAGGTGCATAGATAATCCCCTCAGTATCTGGCTTTGCAGTATGGTTCTGCACAGCTGAATATGCCAGAGACTGGAGCTCTGGGAACGCACTGTGCAGCTAACAAAATGATGAAACCTCACTGAAAACACCTTGCCCTGGAGGAGTGGCCGGCTTCCTTCTGTGCCCCCCTCTGTTCCAACTCCAGGCTATGCAAGTTCAGCATCCACCCCTTGAACTGAGAGTGACAGACATCACCCACCTAAATCAGCAGCTCTGGCTCATCTCTCAATGAAGGCCAAGACCACCTTCCTAGCGCAGGCACAGAGGAGGGTCAAGGACTTATTTAGTTGAATGATATATCCAAGCTGACGAGATTTGTGAAGGAAGAGCTGACTGTACTAGCCTGAGATTTTGCTGCACTTGTAGCTGGCCTGGGGAAGGATCCACCCTTCTTTCCTCTGTAAAGCAGAAAATGAGATCACAGGCACAGAGGCATGAATGTCTCTGGCAAGGACTAGCAGGCTGGATACTGTATTTCTAATACATTTACTTTGACATTCTTCTGAGGAATACATGGAGAAACTGACAGTTGGTTATGTTTGTTTACATGTTCCCTTGTTCTCATTAAACATCTTTGTAAGAAGGGTTTGCTTAGCATCCCCGGAAAAAAAAGTGTTCACATTCTTTAGGTCTGACCCGTGGTAAGGAGAGGGAGGGTTAGAGAGTATTTACTACTGACCATACGGAAGTTTGAATGATATAAATTCAGAGATTCAGACCAGCTGAATCCAAATTAAAATGTACATGTAAAAAATGAGTTACATAATGGGAGGGAGGACAGAGAGAGAGAGCCGGGAGAGTGGGGAGCCGCGCTGAGGAGGCATTCAAACTAGCATGTGGCGTTTCCTGTGTAGGGCAAGATGGTCGGAACGGGAGAAGCTGCGGTCACAGTCTGGACACTGGAAAGGTTTGATTCCAGTATGTTTTCGGAAATGTCTTGTTAGTTCATCAGACCGAGCAAACTTCCATGTGCATCCTTCCCATGTACATTTGTAGGGTTTTTCTCCTGCAAAAAGGAAAAATGAAAAGAGCTTATTTTTTGAGCACAAAAGGCTATTAATTTGTAAAGACAGTGTAAAGGTAAGATTTCGAGCTAAAGCTCTTGACAAGTTATTTTCAAGATCTGTTCATCCATTTGTCCCTCAGTAACACAGTGTCTTATAAATCACTATAGGACAAAAAGGAACAATGACTTAATTCTCTAAACATTTAGCTGGCTCTCTGTCAAAAAAGTGGGGGAAGGATTTTAAGGATTCCCAAAGCGTAAAGCCACTGAAATCCATTGTGAGGGGCTACCGAATAATTTTGGTTTTGCCCTCGATAGTAGGGATGACTAGCTTAAGAAACACCTGATGATCTGTATTTATCTCCAAGTCTCAAACCTACTTTGGTCTAGTTATATACAGTGCTATCAATTTATTTAATGAGAGCCCAAACTGAAAGTATGTGAGATTTTCCTATTTTTTTTCAATATTTTCCCCAAAATATGAAGTCTCAATCATCTGAAATATCTGTCAGGGATTTCAACATCTTACCTTTTGTTTACTCAGTAACAATTATGCTTAAGCATAAGGCTTTAATTTTGAAGTACTAAAACTATAGTAACTCCTCCCCACCCTGTCAGAAGCCAGGTTTCTCCAACCCCCTCCTGGAGGATAATGGTACTTGGCGGGTGAAGAACAGGAGACCCTTTTGGGAAAACCACTGGGAGAGCCATGTGAAAGCATTCACAAATAAAAAGGCTTTTCATGGCAAACTTAGATGTTTAAATTTGTAATAATTGGTAATGGGCATCACAAATCAATCCATTTACATCTCTATTTTCTCTAGAAACCTGAAGGATTGCCGTTCCTTGGTATTTCAGTGAGATAGTCAGAATTTCTATTACCTGCTTTGATGCACGGAATATAAATGCTAAGAGGTATTTTCCCTATGTTTGAATTGTTATCCAAATATTCCTTGTGTTTTTAATCTTAAATTGGAAGTGGGTAACATCCACCTCTCAGGTCCTAATAATGCCCTAGGGATGCTTTTATTAGTCTACTTGGCATTGCTGATTGGATGCTCATCTCAACATTACGCATTACCCTCAGCTCTCTCTCTGTTAAGAGCATTACAACAGTGCCAAAGATCTCAGCTGTACGAATGCCGATTTCCCCCCAACCAGGATTCGCTGAAAAACCTTCACTTTCCCTGTGCTAGACGCCTTCCTTTCCCCCTCTCTTCCAAATTCCAGATTCTTCTCTTGGTAAATATTCCTCATAGGAATGTCTTGTAAGACTCAAACAACAAAACCTACATTCTGAGTAATGTACATAGAGGCAAAATGCTCTTACAGTAGAATTCTACATGGAGGAGTTTGAGGTTAGATCAGATAATTAACTGTAAATGTTAATCACTGAGAGTGACAGCAATTAATCAGGTTATTTAAAACATTTTTGTATGAAATCCTGAAGATGTTTTGTTTACAAAACATTCAAGAGCACAGAGCAATTTTATGTTTTCTTCACCTACATAATTTTTATAAGATCTGACCTAGTCCTCTGGGCAAGATGGAAAATACCCAAGAACAAATATGGTAAGCAATGGCACAGAAGTTCCCTCAATTTTTGAAGAGATGAATTACCCAAATCTCTTCCCTTTTCTTTCTGTCAATGACAGTCTTCTACTTGAATTTCACTTCCAAAAATTGCTGCATTTATTTGTTCTGCATAAGGAGCTGGATTTTTTTGCCACTGTGAATTTGGTAAGGTACGTTTATTAGGCGGATAGCCCATACGAAGGGCCACAATCTCGATGCGACAGGCCCATGGTTCAAGAGCCTCTGCTCCAGCAGGCTGCAGCCCTCTCTCCCTTACCACAGACAGTACAGAACTGCCAAGGGCTGCAGGGAACCTTGTTCTACAGATGACCTTGAGTTTATCTTAACTTTGTATAAAAGTATATTGCTATCAAAAACTTGACTTCTCATGACCAATAGAGACATCTCCAGACAAACTAAATACTTTTCAAGCCCTGGACAACTTCACCACAACAACCTTTGAAAGCTAGAACACTTGAGCCTGACATTCCATTCTAGTACTTCTTAAGAAGAAAGATGGAGCAAGTCTTGGACTCCTGATACCTGTATGTGTTCTTCTGTGTGCTTTCAAGTGAGAGCTCTTAGTGTACACTTTGTTGCATCCATCATAATCACATCTGTGTATCCGCCGCTTCCTCTGGGTGTCGGGAGACTCCACAGGTAAAGGTCTCTTCCCCGGCTGCACTATGACAGAAGGGTGGTTCCTATGAAAGCCAATATTAAATGCAAAATGTTGAAAGAGACTCCTTTTTTTGCAGCCTACCAAAAGCATTAACAACACTGGGCAAAAACAAACAAACAAAAAACCCAATGAAATAGATAAAAAGAAATGAGCTGATCACCCCAAGAAGCACTGCTATGTTCATTCAACAAACATGGAGTGAACACCTACCATGAGCCAGGCACTGTGCTTGGCACCGGGACACAAAGATGAATAAAAACAGGGTTCCTGCCCTCGAGGAGCTCACATTCTAGGGGGAGACAGACATATAGATAAGTAATGACAGTAAGGAGGGTTACAGGTGCTACGCTAGAGGGACGTGCAAAGTACTGAGTCGCATTCCCTCCATAAAGATTCACCTACACATAAAATTTTGTGGTACCAGGCACTGCAGAGCATTGTTCTATGTGTTTTCACAGGCTGCCCTGATTTTCATTATGGTTCTTCAGGGAAAAATGTAAAAAGGTCAAATTCCAAAGTCTCAGGCAACCATACTCTGGCATGTATCTACATTTTATCCTTTATGAAATTGGCATTTGGTCTGAGTCTCTTAAAGATCACCAATTCACATTTGGTTCTCAAATTCTGGCTCATCTCAAAAAAAAAAAGTTGGCACTGTTCTCTCCCCAAGCTCAAACCTTTACTGTTGTTAATACTCTTGTTGGAGGGAGGCTGCAGTGCAAGTCAGGCAGGGAGGGGCGGCGCTGGCCCCACACCAGAGCCTGCTGCCCACCGGTGCCTGACATCCTCTCTGCCTTCCTGAAACCAAATCATGTCTGGCATCACTGCAAGGAACTTTTTCAGAAAGGAAGTTTGTGGAGAGAAAAGGCAGATGGGGATGAGTTGGGAAAGTCTGTAGTTTTCTCAGGCTTCCTCTGATTAATGTCAAGTAATTAAAAAAATTCTAATCCTTTCACTCACTTTCCTAATGACTGATTTACTCGACACATTGCAGGTTTATGTTGTTGGCCTCTGTTAATGAACTTTTTTGTCTTTTCAATTTGAATTTGAAGCTCTTAAATAAATGTTCCAAATAACATATGAATGTTTTGTACAAGTGTATGGGAGAAAAAAAAGGCAGGTGAAAGGGAAAAACAATTTGATGAGGGTAAACACTCAAGCTTGTGAGGCACAAAAGGATAATGTGAAATTTAGCCATAAAAAACAAAAGGGAGTCCCTGAATTGAAACTTGTTTTTATCTTGGTAAAAATTGAGTACCTGTCCCTTACCAGTAACTTTCCCAGGCAGGCTAAGGAGTGACAAGGAAAATTAAAAGGATGTTTATTTTAAGGACTTTACTTATTTCCCACTTAAGAACACTGTCAGCTTTGAGTACCACTTTACCTCCCTACCTTGATACTTAGAGGGGCAAAGCAGAAGAATAAGATAGTCAAGTTTAAACACATGGAAAAGTGAGCATGGAAAAGTGAGGGGGAGAATAAGGACTGTGATTACATATACAGACAAATAGAGAAAATAAGTGAGGGGTTTGTGGATACATACAATTCTTATAAAGCCGAATTGTTATTAAAACCCTTTATTAAAGAGAAAAAAACTTATCAGGTTTTTTTTTTTTAAACTTTCAACTTTAATGCCATTGATTGAAATGTGTCATCTTCATTAAGAGAACTTCAAGAAATAAAATGCTGGGGGAGAAAACTGAATGGTTTAATATATCTCATCTGCCTCGGCAGTACAAAGAGTGATCCCTGATGACTTCAGAAGTCCCCCCCAATTCTTAGACTTTATGGTTTGGGGATCTAAGTTTCTGTACAGCAGGTTCGATTGCTTTTTCTAGTTGCTCATTTTTGAAAGCAATATATGCTTACAGGCTGTGTGCTCCAGCCTCAAATCCCAGCTCAGTCCCTGTGGCCCTGGGCATGGCATTTACCCTCTCTGTGCTCCTTTACTGTCTGTAAAATGGGGAAGATGATAAAATGTGATCTCAGAAAGTTGCTGTAATGTACACAAAGCACTTAAGAATACTACCCGTCCTGGATGTCAACCTATTAAATTGTAGGTGTTAATACTCTGAGGTTCAGGAACCCATTTGCAAACTTTGCCCCTAGTTGTTAATTTCATACATTTTTGGGGGATGTCCCAACACCAGATCAGCAAATGTCTACTAAACTAATGTGCACCTTGAAAAGCAGCACCATTCTGAGAGTAATTCGCAGCCTCATCTCTAAAGAGCCAGATGTGGTAATGGTCTGAGCCTAGAGAACAGGCCTTCAAGTGCTCGCCCTTTTTGAACTCCTCAATGCTCATTTTTAAAGAGGTTGTTTGGGGTCATTACAACCAAGAAGTTAAAACACCTATTGAGTACCAGATACCTGGTCATTGTTTTGAGTTAAGCCAACTCCTCTTAAGTGTGCTACAATTCACACACACGATGAGATGGGTCAATCTGATCCTCAGGTCTTTTGTCCTAAGTACATTTTCACGTATGTAAATATACGACAAAAGAAACCCAATATACATTGGAGTGCCTTTAAAAATAATCCTCAAGCTGTAACTCTATATTCAAGGGAATGGATTTCAAAGCTGAAGCCTGCCTCTGGAAAGGAGGGGCTTCCTAAGGCAAATATTATTGGGGCTGCCTCACTGCAATGGTACTAGGCACTTGGCTTGAAGTGATTCTTTGCTGGCTAGCTGGTTTCCTATGTGGGCTGCTACTGGGCACACTCCAAGACATTACCTAATCACATCTGGGGGAGAATTACTCAAAGAGTACGTGTAGCAGTTGTGGCTAATCTGCTGAATTTTTTGAGGAGCAAAATGCATTCCTAGGTCAGCATTAAAATAAGAGAAACTGTTTTCAGCAGCATTCAGAGCAGAGAATATTGCTTTCAGATATTTTTCTGCCATAATGTTTTACACTGTAATTCATAATAACCCAAACTTTGAAAGAACCCTTTTTCAGTCAATGGAGCCCTCCCTATTTGGGTAGCGGGCTTGATTTAGTTTTATAATATTTTCTTCATCACTTGTGCAGTTATAATACCAGTGCAAAATCATGTTGCTGGTAACCTTGCCAGAGACACCCCCCTATGAAAAAAAGAGGTAGTTCAGCCTGCAAGATGTGTCCATTTTGGTTAGTCTGTGTTTCCTTCCAGGTAAATGCGCGAGTGGATGCATTCGGTGGCTACGAGCACTCATCTGGAAGCAGATCAAGCCCAGCCCCCTCTGCTGTGACCGGCGTGATTATAGGCTGGTTATCCAATGCCTTGGCTCACCGGATCTCTATTTGCTCCCACTCCCACATGACTTATAGGGGAATGAAATAATTCCTTTGAAAACACTGGGAAAAGTTTCTTTTTGTGGGATGAGGAGGCACTATGCAATTGCGAAGGGTACTCATCAATGTACAAGTCCTCCAGACACACCTTCTCCCTGCTGAGGTAGCTGGCTGCTGGCTCTAAGAAGATTCATTCCTTTCTTCAACTACCGGGAAGTACATGACAATCCCAAGACTCGCAACTGATTATGACTTGGTACAAGAGGCAATACTTGAGCTATTGTGAAGGCACCTATTTGGGTGGAATGTGGATACAACCAGAATATATGTAAGTCTCAGATAGTTGCTGTTCTAAAACCAGAGAAAAATCACAATTCTGCTGTAGAGTTGTGTAAGAGAGAGGGGAAAATATAAAAAGTAAAGAGGTGGGCAAAACATTTGTTTCAAGCTGGAGAAGAGGTGATATGGGAAGAAGATGACAGAAGGGGTCTGGAGGAGACAATCATTGCTGCCTTTGCAGTGGAAAGCTGGCCACTACATCCAGGGCTGGAAGCATCAACACAAGACAATTACACCAAGAAAAATAATTACACCCAATAAGGGAAACAGAGAGGAAACAGAGGCAGCAAGGTAAGTGACTAGCCCAAGCCACATATAATAAGGTGGAGAGCAGAGCTGGGATCCAAGGTGGCAGATCCAAAGGTCACCCGAGCTACCGCAAACACAGCCTTCCAGTGTGACCACTGGTAGAAGTCAAGGACACCACAGGAGCAAGCCCACGAATGGTGTCACTGCACCTATGCATGGCACCTTCACATTACAGCCAAGTGAGACCCAGAATAAACCACTGTCCAGGAGCTTGGCTACTAAGCAACTCAGTAACCTTCTGACTGGAGGGCAGTTCAAAGGCAGAGTGAACATTCTAGGGTAGGTATGACTAAAAAGACCAGGGAATAAATAATTTTTCAATAAAGAACTTCTCTGAGCTACATGGATAACTTTCGGTTGCCACCACTATTTAAAGGACTTTTTTTCTGGAGTGTCTTCCTTGGCTTGTGGTTGGCCTGGAAATTCTGACTGAAGAATTTGCCTTAGTAACAGTATTCATAGCCTATGAGAAGGGACGACTGGAAGGACGCTGTGTGTCCATATGAAAAGTTTTCACGATCCAACCTGAAGTGGAATATCTAAGACACCACAGTCAGTCCACACTGGGATTAAGAGAACCATGTATACATAGTCTGGAAGGGTGAAAAAGTAAGACAAAAATGATTTATGTGGCCAGGTGGCAAAATCATGGATGACCGATTCACTGAAAACGTCACATAACTGTCACAGTGCTGTCCGTGAGACCAAGCCCACTGTTTTTGGAGAGATTCTCTCATCTTGCCCAGTGGCTGTCACATACTACAAGGTGTTCTGCAATCTGTGATCACATCCCATGTTGGAAGTTTGTGTTTCCATTCCAGGTCCCAAGATGTACGCTCTTATGCAAATGCTGGGAAGGCCTAAATATACTTACTCTTGCAACAATGCTTGCGGGGGGGACACTGAGTTCATTAAAGGGGGTGACATTTCTTCAGGATAATAATCTGTCCTCTGTGGTTCAATCCCAGGTTCTATTTTAATTTTTTTCTGTAATATAGGCTTCTCATATGATTCAATTACAGGTACTAAAAAATAAAAATAGAAAAGTCATTCTATGTACAATTTACCAATTTTAGCTTTTAGAAGTTTATTGCACAGCTTCTATCTATAGAACTGATGTATGAATATTCTTTTATTTGCCTTGGGCAAAATTATAGCAGAAATGAATCTGTGGGGAGTCCTGTTTCTCCTGACCATTATTTTGCCAGTAAGCATCACACACAGGAAGCCAGACTTTAAAGACATCAGCACCCAAATGATTCTTCCGTATGGTTTTTGGTTATTTCCTTTTAACCCTAATCTTCTGGCTACTACCAGGCAGTAAACAATGTGGCTTTTAATGGCCACTGGTTATCACCATGACCAAAGGTACTTAATAAATGCCTTTTTAATAGAATCATGTTGGCATTCAATAAAGCAAAATAGAAAAAAATCAACATTTTTACTATCCCAAAGTGACAATTAAGTGAAAGAAATCATTTCATGGCATTCAACAGACAGCCTGATTCTTGGGAGTGCTTCCAGTATCAACACTAAAAAAAGAAAAAAGGAAATGCCTCAGGCAGACTCTAAGACGGATATTTCCTTTCAAGAGTGTAACAACTCTTGGCTCTTGCTTCCTTTGCTGCCTTACCGGGACCGTCTGGTGATGAACCCCTATAGACTAGGCAGGAACAGCAGTGCAGACCAGTGGTGCAATTTACCTTGCATGCTACTATTTGAATTTTCCATTTCCTCGGATAAGGAGACCATGAGCGGCTGCTGGAGGTGACTGGTGTACATAAAGGGGACCGGCTGCACCACCACGGGCTGTATGACGGGCAGGATCCCGGGGCTCCGGATCCCGTGCCGGGAGAGGGCTGCGGCCATCACGGGAGGCATGGACAGCGGCACGCCAAAGGGCTGCACTCCCGGGGGAGGCGGTGAGTACTTTTTCACGGGCGGGCTGGAAGAGGGCATGCTCAACCCGGGCGAGCCTCTCCGGTGCGAGGCCTGAAACTTCAGCGAGGAAGGAGAGCTCCCTGTGGAGGGCGGGGAGCTCCGTTTGTTCACAGTGAGGTCCACTGGCTCCATCTGCATCCCGTGCGACAGGCCTTCTGGGGTCTGGAAGAACTTGTCAGGTAACGGTGTGGAGTAGATGACACCATACTTGTTGGGCTTCATTGACTCCATGTAATTCGATGGGTATGACTATTGGAAAGGAAGGAGGGAAACGTGTGAACAGCCATTAAGTGCGTTTGCTGGAAACATGAGTCAGGATGAAAATGTACAAGGAGGCGCTTTCAATACCATGGACTTTCTAATAAGCCATTTGGATTTAGATATATACTGGACCTTTAAAAAAATGTTATGAGGGAGCTGGTCTAATAAATGTAAGAACTAGAGATAATGGGGTAGCTGTGTCTGTCACATAAAAAAAATCTCAGAATTAATTCTAAGGTGATTCCCATGTCAGATGTTAAGGCTGAGGTTGATACCTGGCAAAATTCTAAAACAGGTCATAAACAGAAATCTTTATTATTAGGAGTCAGTGCTGCGGGGTTCACCAAGAACCAGCCAAGCCCACTAACCTGTTGTTTTTCTAAAGGGGTTTCTTCATCAGCAGGAAATGCTCTCTCTAGCTTGAGGGTCTGTGACCTCAGGAACAGGATCACTTAATGTTTCTTGTGATTTTTCTTGTGTATAACATGGAGAAATGGAGCTGCATGGTAGCACAAAGGATTGGCTTCAGCCACCAGACCAATCCATGCCCGGGGTGGCCAACAGTCCTGGTATGCTGAGGACTGTCCTGGTTTTTGCACTAAAAGCCCTACCTTCCAAGAAACACCTCAATCTCAGGTCAACCAGGATGATCCTGACTGACCCTATACTGTTACCCTATATACAGACCGAAGGCCATCCAGTCTGGGGGAACTTTGGCCCCAGCTTTTTCAATGGTCTTATTCACTGTCTGAATGAAGGTGCAGAAGATGACATAATTTCTAAATTGGTGGATGATACAGAAGTGTAAGAAACAGCTAAGAACTCACGAAGACCACGTGATGCCCTAAGCCACTTGCACACAAACTGAGGCCCAGCGTCCCCTCCTCTAAACCTTGCTACCCCCTCATCAAGAGGCTAATGAAATGGTCTATTTCCTCCCAAGCTGAGTTGTTCCACAACTGACCTAATTTTTCTTCAAATACCTTTCTTGTAGTAACAGAATAACCTAATACTACCAGCTTTAAACACAAAATCAATCATAATAATGGCACACTATGGTACTGTCCTTCACTATGGAATTCACTAAAATCACTTCTATTCCTCATTTGAAATTGGAAAAAGTATCTTTGTTGTTAGAATGCTTTTAAAAAAAGTTAAACTCAACACAAGCCATTTTGTTTACTTGTAGGGCATTCAGGAACTGAAATTTTTAGTGGTAACATCAAGTCTGTCTGCAGAAAATTACTTGGATTTGAATGTTTTACAGTGTGAATTGTAAGCAATGAGCTGTGCCTCTCTTCCAGCTCTAAAATCTTATGGATTTATGATTGAGATAATACTAGCTCATGATGTAACCAAGAATACTCACCAGTGGGGCCTTATAATTAAACAGCTTAAAGGCACTATTAATTTCAGATCCTCCTTGGTCCCTCCAAGTGGCCATTTTTAAGAGTTATAAACAATTGTGGGGTAGCAGTGGTTTTGACTGGGATTACTCCTCAGATCACACCCTTTCCTCCTTGGGCCTATGCTGGGCCAATCTCCACCTGGCTGTGCTTCAGAATCACCTGTGCTATTTTAAAAATTTGGATGTCTGCTCCCTTCTCTGGACCCAATGAGCATGAGTATCAAGGGACAGAGAGCCAGGGAGGATTTATCTTTATCTGTTTTTTATGTCAGTTTCCTCATAATTAAGATTATGTGTTTTGTTCTGTCCTTCCTTTGTTTATTCATATCATCAAAATCTGTATGATCTCCTACAACAGTGATTACTGCAGTATGATGCTTTAAAATATTGTTTATATATGTAATACAAAAACCTGTTTTTTTCCAGAAGTAGTGACATAAAGTTCCCTCTTAAAACAAATGTATTATGTTAAAAAAGCAATTCTATGGAAGAGGGCAAGAAAAATTACAACTAAATGTTAGGTGTGCAAGTGCCATGAGAATATGGCAAAACTTGTCAAGGTGGTACCTAAATACCCACCTTCTAGGAGGTTGTGAGTTTAAAATTAAAATTGGATTCAATTAACCTATGTAAGAAGTTTAACACACTGTTTCTAGGAGTCTCTTCTGTTCCTACTGTAATAGACTTTGATCCTCCCAAATGGGGCTTCTCAAACTTTACTGTGCACCTGAATTCAACTGCCGGTCTTGTTAAAATGCAGATTCTGAATTACTGGGGAGGGAGGGAGTGGCTCAAGGTACACAGACTGCCCTGTGAACAGCATGGCTCTAAGTGGTAGAGATACAGAATAAAAATATGAATTTTTAGTATTAAAATTTGATCAATTATTTAAATAGTATTTAAGGGGGGGATTTTCACTAACTGCTTAAAAACAAGGACATGAAGAATATAAAATGAGAAAATAAATATAAATTGCTGCTTTTAAAAGCAGCTCTGAGTTACTCATCAAGAATCAAAGGAGGAAAAGATTATTTCTACCTTTCTTTAGAACAAGGTACACACAGGTACACATAAGGTGAGAGGCCCAAAACATACAGTGATATTACCATTAGACATATTTAAACAGGCAATATTAAAAACAAGGCATAAGGTTCATTAACCAAAAAAAATTAAGTCATGGATAATGAGGGCTTAAGGAAATAATTAAATACAGGAGGACAAAAGATTTCTCCTAGTTCTAAAGTTTAACGTGCTTTATATAATTTCCTTTATATAAAAGGCGCAAGTTTTGGTACTAGAAACAAAACTTCAGGAAATGGGAGGCAATATTAGGTGTTTCTACTCACCAGAATGTAGCTTCTCCCTTATTTTCAGCCCTGTTCTTTAAAGACCTCCCCCCTCCCCCTATGACCTAGATTTTAATGACAAGTTATTGGCAGCTAAATAGGAAGCGAAACGAGGACACACTTTCATTGCTGTCATTGCTGGTTTTTTTCTAACCGTGGGGTGAATTTAAGGAGAATAGGAATTTAGAACTTGGGAGACTTTAAAATTTAATAATATTCTCAGGTTTCTCAAGCCATTAAAAAAAAAGCCACATATAAAGCCATGTTTTATAAACATTATTCACACTCAAGCTGTGAGTCTGCTTGCCATGAATGCCCCCACCCCCTTTGCTGATGTAAGGTGTTTGTAAGGCTTGGGCTAGTAGGGACACACATTTGGACACACAACAGAGTTCACAGTTAACTATTTCCAGTCTGACTGCTTCACAAAAGGGTGAAAAAATGTGGTTCCTCAAACTCACTAGCAAATTCCATAGCAATGTTGACCAGAACCTTCTATTAGATGTGTTTGCTTCAATTATTTGGGTGGAGCACACAAGCTACTGCAATCAGCTTGCAACAGTCTGCCCTCCACAGTGGAAGGAGTGATCCAGGGTGTGCTCAGCATGGGTGCCTTTGGCGGGTACACCCTGGTATAAGAGACCTGTCCAGACCATTCCTATCTTCTCATAAAGCAATGCAAATAAGCGTGGCTGCACTGGCCCCAAATCCGTATCAGAGGTGCGTGTTGATGAAGCAAGGAGCCTCCTCTGACCACTGACGTGCAATGCCCCAGTGCATATGCTGACCGAGCGAGCCCTATATTCTGGAACAGAGCAGCCTGAAGACAAAACTCAACCCTCCCTGGGGTGGTAATAGGTTTTACTTTTCAGAAGATCTGTTATTAAGAAATGTTCTTTCCTTCTGTTGTAACACACACTGAAAGGAGTGTTCATACCTCCACAGCGTGTGTGTTTATTTGCTGACTGCTTCCTCTCATCAGAATGGGAGATGAAGGCCTGGCACAGATGTTTAATAAACACTCGATGAGTGAAGGAAGTGAATCAACACACTTTCTGAGCAGGTTTTTACTATATGTGGTAATGGTCTGAGCCTAGAGAACAGGCCTTCAAGTGCTCGCCCTTTTTGAACTCCTCAATGCTCATTTTTAAAGAGGTTGTTTGGGGTCATTACAACCAAGAAGTTAAAACACCTATTGAGTACCAGATACCTGGTCATTGTTTTGAGTTAAGCCAACTCCTCTTAAGTGTGCTACAATTCACACACACGATGAGATGGGTCAATCTGATCCTCAGGTCTTTTGTCCTAAGTACATTTTCACGTATGTAAATATACGACAAAAGAAACCCAATATACATTGGAGTGCCTTTAAAAATAATCCTCAAGCTGTAACTCTATATTCAAGGGAATGGATTTCAAAGCTGAAGCCTGCCTCTGGAAAGGAGGGGCTTCCTAAGGCAAATATTATTGGGGCTGCCTCACTGCAATGGTACTAGGCACTTGGCTTGAAGTGATTCTTTGCTGGCTAGCTGGTTTCCTATGTGGGCTGCTACTGGGCACACTCCAAGACATTACCTAATCACATCTGGGGGAGAATTACTCAAAGAGTACGTGTAGCAGTTGTGGCTAATCTGCTGAATTTTTTGAGGAGCAAAATGCATTCCTAGGTCAGCATTAAAATAAGAGAAACTGTTTTCAGCAGCATTCAGAGCAGAGAATATTGCTTTCAGATATTTTTCTGCCATAATGTTTTACACTGTAATTCATAATAACCCAAACTTTGAAAGAACCCTTTTTCAGTCAATGGAGCCCTCCCTATTTGGGTAGCGGGCTTGATTTAGTTTTATAATATTTTCTTCATCACTTGTGCAGTTATAATACCAGTGCAAAATCATGTTGCTGGTAACCTTGCCAGAGACACCCCCCTATGAAAAAAAGAGGTAGTTCAGCCTGCAAGATGTGTCCATTTTGGTTAGTCTGTGTTTCCTTCCAGGTAAATGCGCGAGTGGATGCATTCGGTGGCTACGAGCACTCATCTGGAAGCAGATCAAGCCCAGCCCCCTCTGCTGTGACCGGCGTGATTATAGGCTGGTTATCCAATGCCTTGGCTCACCGGATCTCTATTTGCTCCCACTCCCACATGACTTATAGGGGAATGAAATAATTCCTTTGAAAACACTGGGAAAAGTTTCTTTTTGTGGGATGAGGAGGCACTATGCAATTGCGAAGGGTACTCATCAATGTACAAGTCCTCCAGACACACCTTCTCCCTGCTGAGGTAGCTGGCTGCTGGCTCTAAGAAGATTCATTCCTTTCTTCAACTACCGGGAAGTACATGACAATCCCAAGACTCGCAACTGATTATGACTTGGTACAAGAGGCAATACTTGAGCTATTGTGAAGGCACCTATTTGGGTGGAATGTGGATACAACCAGAATATATGTAAGTCTCAGATAGTTGCTGTTCTAAAACCAGAGAAAAATCACAATTCTGCTGTAGAGTTGTGTAAGAGAGAGGGGAAAATATAAAAAGTAAAGAGGTGGGCAAAACATTTGTTTCAAGCTGGAGAAGAGGTGATATGGGAAGAAGATGACAGAAGGGGTCTGGAGGAGACAATCATTGCTGCCTTTGCAGTGGAAAGCTGGCCACTACATCCAGGGCTGGAAGCATCAACACAAGACAATTACACCAAGAAAAATAATTACACCCAATAAGGGAAACAGAGAGGAAACAGAGGCAGCAAGGTAAGTGACTAGCCCAAGCCACATATAATAAGGTGGAGAGCAGAGCTGGGATCCAAGGTGGCAGATCCAAAGGTCACCCGAGCTACCGCAAACACAGCCTTCCAGTGTGACCACTGGTAGAAGTCAAGGACACCACAGGAGCAAGCCCACGAATGGTGTCACTGCACCTATGCATGGCACCTTCACATTACAGCCAAGTGAGACCCAGAATAAACCACTGTCCAGGAGCTTGGCTACTAAGCAACTCAGTAACCTTCTGACTGGAGGGCAGTTCAAAGGCAGAGTGAACATTCTAGGGTAGGTATGACTAAAAAGACCAGGGAATAAATAATTTTTCAATAAAGAACTTCTCTGAGCTACATGGATAACTTTCGGTTGCCACCACTATTTAAAGGACTTTTTTTCTGGAGTGTCTTCCTTGGCTTGTGGTTGGCCTGGAAATTCTGACTGAAGAATTTGCCTTAGTAACAGTATTCATAGCCTATGAGAAGGGACGACTGGAAGGACGCTGTGTGTCCATATGAAAAGTTTTCACGATCCAACCTGAAGTGGAATATCTAAGACACCACAGTCAGTCCACACTGGGATTAAGAGAACCATGTATACATAGTCTGGAAGGGTGAAAAAGTAAGACAAAAATGATTTATGTGGCCAGGTGGCAAAATCATGGATGACCGATTCACTGAAAACGTCACATAACTGTCACAGTGCTGTCCGTGAGACCAAGCCCACTGTTTTTGGAGAGATTCTCTCATCTTGCCCAGTGGCTGTCACATACTACAAGGTGTTCTGCAATCTGTGATCACATCCCATGTTGGAAGTTTGTGTTTCCATTCCAGGTCCCAAGATGTACGCTCTTATGCAAATGCTGGGAAGGCCTAAATATACTTACTCTTGCAACAATGCTTGCGGGGGGGACACTGAGTTCATTAAAGGGGGTGACATTTCTTCAGGATAATAATCTGTCCTCTGTGGTTCAATCCCAGGTTCTATTTTAATTTTTTTCTGTAATATAGGCTTCTCATATGATTCAATTACAGGTACTAAAAAATAAAAATAGAAAAGTCATTCTATGTACAATTTACCAATTTTAGCTTTTAGAAGTTTATTGCACAGCTTCTATCTATAGAACTGATGTATGAATATTCTTTTATTTGCCTTGGGCAAAATTATAGCAGAAATGAATCTGTGGGGAGTCCTGTTTCTCCTGACCATTATTTTGCCAGTAAGCATCACACACAGGAAGCCAGACTTTAAAGACATCAGCACCCAAATGATTCTTCCGTATGGTTTTTGGTTATTTCCTTTTAACCCTAATCTTCTGGCTACTACCAGGCAGTAAACAATGTGGCTTTTAATGGCCACTGGTTATCACCATGACCAAAGGTACTTAATAAATGCCTTTTTAATAGAATCATGTTGGCATTCAATAAAGCAAAATAGAAAAAAATCAACATTTTTACTATCCCAAAGTGACAATTAAGTGAAAGAAATCATTTCATGGCATTCAACAGACAGCCTGATTCTTGGGAGTGCTTCCAGTATCAACACTAAAAAAAGAAAAAAGGAAATGCCTCAGGCAGACTCTAAGACGGATATTTCCTTTCAAGAGTGTAACAACTCTTGGCTCTTGCTTCCTTTGCTGCCTTACCGGGACCGTCTGGTGATGAACCCCTATAGACTAGGCAGGAACAGCAGTGCAGACCAGTGGTGCAATTTACCTTGCATGCTACTATTTGAATTTTCCATTTCCTCGGATAAGGAGACCATGAGCGGCTGCTGGAGGTGACTGGTGTACATAAAGGGGACCGGCTGCACCACCACGGGCTGTATGACGGGCAGGATCCCGGGGCTCCGGATCCCGTGCCGGGAGAGGGCTGCGGCCATCACGGGAGGCATGGACAGCGGCACGCCAAAGGGCTGCACTCCCGGGGGAGGCGGTGAGTACTTTTTCACGGGCGGGCTGGAAGAGGGCATGCTCAACCCGGGCGAGCCTCTCCGGTGCGAGGCCTGAAACTTCAGCGAGGAAGGAGAGCTCCCTGTGGAGGGCGGGGAGCTCCGTTTGTTCACAGTGAGGTCCACTGGCTCCATCTGCATCCCGTGCGACAGGCCTTCTGGGGTCTGGAAGAACTTGTCAGGTAACGGTGTGGAGTAGATGACACCATACTTGTTGGGCTTCATTGACTCCATGTAATTCGATGGGTATGACTATTGGAAAGGAAGGAGGGAAACGTGTGAACAGCCATTAAGTGCGTTTGCTGGAAACATGAGTCAGGATGAAAATGTACAAGGAGGCGCTTTCAATACCATGGACTTTCTAATAAGCCATTTGGATTTAGATATATACTGGACCTTTAAAAAAATGTTATGAGGGAGCTGGTCTAATAAATGTAAGAACTAGAGATAATGGGGTAGCTGTGTCTGTCACATAAAAAAAATCTCAGAATTAATTCTAAGGTGATTCCCATGTCAGATGTTAAGGCTGAGGTTGATACCTGGCAAAATTCTAAAACAGGTCATAAACAGAAATCTTTATTATTAGGAGTCAGTGCTGCGGGGTTCACCAAGAACCAGCCAAGCCCACTAACCTGTTGTTTTTCTAAAGGGGTTTCTTCATCAGCAGGAAATGCTCTCTCTAGCTTGAGGGTCTGTGACCTCAGGAACAGGATCACTTAATGTTTCTTGTGATTTTTCTTGTGTATAACATGGAGAAATGGAGCTGCATGGTAGCACAAAGGATTGGCTTCAGCCACCAGACCAATCCATGCCCGGGGTGGCCAACAGTCCTGGTATGCTGAGGACTGTCCTGGTTTTTGCACTAAAAGCCCTACCTTCCAAGAAACACCTCAATCTCAGGTCAACCAGGATGATCCTGACTGACCCTATACTGTTACCCTATATACAGACCGAAGGCCATCCAGTCTGGGGGAACTTTGGCCCCAGCTTTTTCAATGGTCTTATTCACTGTCTGAATGAAGGTGCAGAAGATGACATAATTTCTAAATTGGTGGATGATACAGAAGTGTAAGAAACAGCTAAGAACTCACGAAGACCACGTGATGCCCTAAGCCACTTGCACACAAACTGAGGCCCAGCGTCCCCTCCTCTAAACCTTGCTACCCCCTCATCAAGAGGCTAATGAAATGGTCTATTTCCTCCCAAGCTGAGTTGTTCCACAACTGACCTAATTTTTCTTCAAATACCTTTCTTGTAGTAACAGAATAACCTAATACTACCAGCTTTAAACACAAAATCAATCATAATAATGGCACACTATGGTACTGTCCTTCACTATGGAATTCACTAAAATCACTTCTATTCCTCATTTGAAATTGGAAAAAGTATCTTTGTTGTTAGAATGCTTTTAAAAAAAGTTAAACTCAACACAAGCCATTTTGTTTACTTGTAGGGCATTCAGGAACTGAAATTTTTAGTGGTAACATCAAGTCTGTCTGCAGAAAATTACTTGGATTTGAATGTTTTACAGTGTGAATTGTAAGCAATGAGCTGTGCCTCTCTTCCAGCTCTAAAATCTTATGGATTTATGATTGAGATAATACTAGCTCATGATGTAACCAAGAATACTCACCAGTGGGGCCTTATAATTAAACAGCTTAAAGGCACTATTAATTTCAGATCCTCCTTGGTCCCTCCAAGTGGCCATTTTTAAGAGTTATAAACAATTGTGGGGTAGCAGTGGTTTTGACTGGGATTACTCCTCAGATCACACCCTTTCCTCCTTGGGCCTATGCTGGGCCAATCTCCACCTGGCTGTGCTTCAGAATCACCTGTGCTATTTTAAAAATTTGGATGTCTGCTCCCTTCTCTGGACCCAATGAGCATGAGTATCAAGGGACAGAGAGCCAGGGAGGATTTATCTTTATCTGTTTTTTATGTCAGTTTCCTCATAATTAAGATTATGTGTTTTGTTCTGTCCTTCCTTTGTTTATTCATATCATCAAAATCTGTATGATCTCCTACAACAGTGATTACTGCAGTATGATGCTTTAAAATATTGTTTATATATGTAATACAAAAACCTGTTTTTTTCCAGAAGTAGTGACATAAAGTTCCCTCTTAAAACAAATGTATTATGTTAAAAAAGCAATTCTATGGAAGAGGGCAAGAAAAATTACAACTAAATGTTAGGTGTGCAAGTGCCATGAGAATATGGCAAAACTTGTCAAGGTGGTACCTAAATACCCACCTTCTAGGAGGTTGTGAGTTTAAAATTAAAATTGGATTCAATTAACCTATGTAAGAAGTTTAACACACTGTTTCTAGGAGTCTCTTCTGTTCCTACTGTAATAGACTTTGATCCTCCCAAATGGGGCTTCTCAAACTTTACTGTGCACCTGAATTCAACTGCCGGTCTTGTTAAAATGCAGATTCTGAATTACTGGGGAGGGAGGGAGTGGCTCAAGGTACACAGACTGCCCTGTGAACAGCATGGCTCTAAGTGGTAGAGATACAGAATAAAAATATGAATTTTTAGTATTAAAATTTGATCAATTATTTAAATAGTATTTAAGGGGGGGATTTTCACTAACTGCTTAAAAACAAGGACATGAAGAATATAAAATGAGAAAATAAATATAAATTGCTGCTTTTAAAAGCAGCTCTGAGTTACTCATCAAGAATCAAAGGAGGAAAAGATTATTTCTACCTTTCTTTAGAACAAGGTACACACAGGTACACATAAGGTGAGAGGCCCAAAACATACAGTGATATTACCATTAGACATATTTAAACAGGCAATATTAAAAACAAGGCATAAGGTTCATTAACCAAAAAAAATTAAGTCATGGATAATGAGGGCTTAAGGAAATAATTAAATACAGGAGGACAAAAGATTTCTCCTAGTTCTAAAGTTTAACGTGCTTTATATAATTTCCTTTATATAAAAGGCGCAAGTTTTGGTACTAGAAACAAAACTTCAGGAAATGGGAGGCAATATTAGGTGTTTCTACTCACCAGAATGTAGCTTCTCCCTTATTTTCAGCCCTGTTCTTTAAAGACCTCCCCCCTCCCCCTATGACCTAGATTTTAATGACAAGTTATTGGCAGCTAAATAGGAAGCGAAACGAGGACACACTTTCATTGCTGTCATTGCTGGTTTTTTTCTAACCGTGGGGTGAATTTAAGGAGAATAGGAATTTAGAACTTGGGAGACTTTAAAATTTAATAATATTCTCAGGTTTCTCAAGCCATTAAAAAAAAAGCCACATATAAAGCCATGTTTTATAAACATTATTCACACTCAAGCTGTGAGTCTGCTTGCCATGAATGCCCCCACCCCCTTTGCTGATGTAAGGTGTTTGTAAGGCTTGGGCTAGTAGGGACACACATTTGGACACACAACAGAGTTCACAGTTAACTATTTCCAGTCTGACTGCTTCACAAAAGGGTGAAAAAATGTGGTTCCTCAAACTCACTAGCAAATTCCATAGCAATGTTGACCAGAACCTTCTATTAGATGTGTTTGCTTCAATTATTTGGGTGGAGCACACAAGCTACTGCAATCAGCTTGCAACAGTCTGCCCTCCACAGTGGAAGGAGTGATCCAGGGTGTGCTCAGCATGGGTGCCTTTGGCGGGTACACCCTGGTATAAGAGACCTGTCCAGACCATTCCTATCTTCTCATAAAGCAATGCAAATAAGCGTGGCTGCACTGGCCCCAAATCCGTATCAGAGGTCGTGTTGATGAAGCAAGGAGCCTCCTCTGACCACTGACGTGCAATGCCCCAGTGCATATGCTGACCGAGCGAGCCCTATATTCTGGAACAGAGCAGCCTGAAGACAAAACTCAACCCTCCCTGGGGTGGTAATAGGTTTTACTTTTCAGAAGATCTGTTATTAAGAAATGTTCTTTCCTTCTGTTGTAACACACACTGAAAGGAGTGTTCATACCTCCACAGCGTGTGTGTTTATTTGCTGACTGCTTCCTCTCATCAGAATGGGAGATGAAGGCCTGGCACAGATGTTTAATAAACACTCGATGAGTGAAGGAAGTGAATCAACACACTTTCTGAGCAGGTTTTTACTACTGACAAGGCTAAGGCTAATACCAATTATTCCAATTCTTTGGATTCTCAAAAATTGATTTTTATTGTGGTGGGGAAAAAGGCCCAGGGTTTGGATAATTTTCCAAAACTACCACTCTATACTCAAGTGAGAATTCAATAGTTTCTTATTCCACTGGAAGTAGTTTTGGAGAGTTTTCCATTACAAGATGGCCTAAGTGGGAGTGACTGCACAACACATGGATGGAGTGAGTCTCTATTTCACTATGCATTAATATGGAAAAAAAAAATATCCATGAGAGGGCTATGGCAAGTCAAAGGGATCTTCATACCAAGGGTGGGGTTCCAAGTGCAGGAAGGCGTGGTACATTTATAAACACACACTCTGGAGACAGCAAATGTCATGCCCTTCTATGCAAACAAAAGAATAAAGTGTCTTTTTCCACCAGGCTCAGAAAAGTCATGAAAAGTTTTTGTTAGACCAGACCAGAGAACTACTGTTTTAGTATTTCTCAGTCTTCAAGGAGTCTTGTCAGACGACAGTTCTCATTTACAAGAAAAGAAAAAAAACATTTTCTTCAAAAGTCATCTTGCTAAAGAAATAGAAAAAGAATACTTGAAAAAAAATTGTTTTTTTCCTCACGTCCAGAAAAAAAATTGTTTTTTTCCTCACGTCCAGAATAAAATTCTTTAATTCTCAACCCTCTTTGGAAATGTATTGGTAAAAGCAAATCCTTTACATGTACATTTTATATATACATGCTGTCTCATACTTTACAAATGACAATCTCCAATTTTACAAATTAAAAAAAAAAAGAGGCCTTGAGGGCTGGGGGTTTTGCCAACATCCTGCTAAGTAGCAGAGATCCACAGCACCAACGGAGGGGGGTCTACTCTGCGCCCCATTCTTGCAAACTTTAATAGGACAACCCAAAGCCTTATCATTTACCTCAAAGCACAAGGTTTAGCAGAGGATATGAAGGTTTACATTTCGGTGAGAGAGAAATCACATTTCCTCACTTTCTCTAAACTATAGAAAAACACCAAACAGACACATTGCATCTGTTGTATTTGCCTTTTAAGAAAAAGGTGAGGGGTGGGGGTGGGGAGATAAGTCATTATTTTTCTTCATATGTGGAATTAAAACAAAAAGAATCTTACAAATATCCTATACGGCCTAAATGTTCAGAACACTGACCTGAGTCCAGACTTTGACCTTCAGGTTAAAGACAGAATTAAAAAGAAAAAAGGCATAAAGGAATAATAAATTAGGTTTAATGTCCACTCATGACAGCAGGAAAAATGCAATTTGAAGGTTTAAGAGTGGAAACAAATGCTTTTTATTTAATTTCATTGCTTCCTAAATATTTCAGTTAACTGAGCTTTCACTGAGTGAAGAAAAAGAATTTCTTTGTAAGGACTGACACTAACTTTTGGTGAAACAATCTAATTAAATTCTGTAAGCAATAGTTGAAGTTGAAAACTAGAGCATGAAGGAGAGAAAGACCATTAAGTGCAAAAATACTATACATCTTAATTTCATGTATTTATATAAGTTACAGTATTACAAGAATAACTGTTACTTCAGATTCATTATTTCCATTTTTTTTAGTTAAGTGTATTTCCTTGCACTTAATTATGTCATACCAATGAAGCAATGTGGATCTTTATTTTAGCTTTAAATTAGGCTCTTGAGCCATATTTTCATGCTTGATTAAAAGTATTGCTAGTATATTGAATATTAAAATGCATAAAAGATGGTTCTGCATCATTTACAAAATTAATCATATTCTCCAGTACTAAAAACCTATTCGTATTTCAAGGATATAATTAATGGGGAAATTTTGTATCTTTAATTTTCCTTCAACATGCTCTGCAATGGTTGGGGGAAGAGGTTGTTGGATACAATGAGAGCACTGAATAACATTAGAAGTCAATTTAGTTTTTTGATTAATAAATCTTATTGCTCAATTATTATGTTATTCAGACACTGGGTTATCCAGTTATCATGCTGGAATGTAAATGTTATCTCCTAAAAGCCACCCTGACCTAACTTTTCACCGTACACGGTGGTAAACAATTCACTAGCTTAGTAATATCCATGGCAACTCAGTTCCGAGGGCCTCCGAGTGACCCCTGCGTCTTGTATAAACATTTTTGGCAGGAACCTCCACAGTCAGTGCATAAGGATGATCTAATTTTGCAAGCGTGTCATTACCAACCTTCACATACACAACTCAGGCCAAGTTTTTCCCCTTGTGAGTATTTTCCAAGCCGTGGAAGAAAAGTACAAGACAGAATGGGAGTGCTGCCTTTTCACTTGATATTCACTAATCCAGATGCCCTCAGGTCTGCACCACTCCTGCCTCTGAAGTTGGACACCTTTCCGTTATCACCTATGTTCCATCTCCACAGCACTAGTGTTGGACCTGTATAAACACGTGGACTAAGCCCCAGGTGGCCAAAGAGCATCTAGAGGGGACTGGCTCACAAGAGCGGCTCGCTTAGCATGGAGGTGCTGAAACAGACCACGGGCTATATAGTTCCCTCCCAGTCAGAGACTCCTCCAAGGGAAAAATTCCATCCTCACCACCAAGTTCTTTCACTAGCTCCTCCCCGGTCCTGTCTCCTGCAATCACAGTTCCATATATGGCTGTCGTCATTGTTTTCTCAGCAAACCATTTTATTCTTAGTGTATTTTTTACGTGCAAAAGGAGTGAGACTCCCCCCATCCAAGGTTTCATCTTTTTAACCACCTCCACGAAGGACAATCTGAACGCTACGCGAGACAAAACAGAATATCTTCTTCTTCTACTATTAAAAAAAAAAAAAATGACACTGACAAACATTTTATATTGATGTGTGATCTGAAGAAAAATACACCATTAGATAATCATGTTCTTGAGCAGATTTCTTGTAGGTACACTCACAAATAGCTTCCTAATGATGACAAACATTGTGAACATTTTTTTTTTAATATCCCTAGAAGCACATTAATTTTTAAAAATCAGTGTGGCCAAATGTTTTTTGCCAAAACCAATAATCCCCAGAGACTAAGATAAAAAACTGGTAACTGAGGAAGTTTTGTAAACCTACTTCTGTTGTGAGGAGGTTTGCCTGTAGCCCAAGTTCTGTGCTGATCATACCCTGGGGGGCTGTGGGTCGCAGGTCTTAAGGAAACATGGATCCCATTTATTAAATGATGCACAGTTGCTTTGAGGGTATTTCTCTCACTTTTTACCAGGGTATTTGAGAAAAGTTTACCTATCAAATGCGTCAAGCGATGAGTAACCTTAAGGAGTAACACAGCACACAATAATGTTATTACCACTTGGAATAAATAAAAAGCGTTCAGTTTTGGAAAACTTACCACCGAGACAGGGTCCATGGCCTCTTGCTTGACAGGGACTGGGTCAAACATGAGCATTCTTTCAGCTCAGCCTTCTAGGGTGCTCTGGCCTAAAAAAAACAAGGTGTCCATCAATATTAAATTCCGAGGTTACTTTAAATATAAACTAGTAAAAATATAATTTTTTTCACCCCTACTTCTCTGCTCTTTCCTCTTCCCCACCCCCGGAATGGCTAGAATTTATTTCCCTTACCTATGAAAGATGCCATTTTATATAATTAAAACCAGACTCCATAGTCATAACCAGATGGGAGCCAACTGGCATTTCTAACTCAAATACATAAACCCTGACATTTCTGGAACTATATGTACAGCCCCTACTGAGCAGCAAATCTTGCTTAAGATTAAGACCTCTGTGCAACTCAATACAAGTTCACATTATATATGAACGTTAAACCATCACTAATATCTTTGTTTTTAACCTTCCAAACTCTTTTTAAATGGATTATAGTCTGCATGCTATTTTGTATCCATAGTTGCACTTGATAATTTACTGTGAAAATGTTTCTTTTTCAGGAAGTATGGTTCCAAAGCAAATCCAGTGTGCTACTCTGTGAGTTTATTTAAATCACCCTTTTATAAGGCACTTAGGATGTTTCTGGATTTCCACCATTTCACAGCAATGAGCACCTTTATTCTTATAACCTCTTGCAAACTCTGAATTACTTTTTAGGATAAATCTTATGAAAGAGAATTCTTGGAGGAGTCAAGGATATTTTCCAAAGCATTTAATGTATCAGTCGGCAAAGATGTTCTATTATTTTCATTAACAAATAAAACCTGTTTCCCAACATTTCTATCAGCAATGTGTATTATTACTTAAAAAAAAAACAAAAACCTGTCAATCTGTTAGCATCTAAATGGCAAACTATTATTCTAAATTGATTTAATAATTGAAGTTGAATCTTTTTCCTCTTTATTTACCATCTGCATTTCTTCTTTTGAGAGATGCCTTATTGACATCTTGACTTTTCCCCTGCACCTCGTTTCCTAAGCACTCTGTATATATGAAGGCTACTAGCTTGTATTCACTCCAATTTGTCTTCATTAGGAAATATTCTAATCTTTAGCCTAATGCAAAGGAAATGTCCATCCTGATCCTGTTTGGTTTTTCTGTTTTCTTCTATTATTGTGTTCATGTTATCCCTCCATTTTATTCTGTGTTCCATACTAGTCCACTTCTCACACTAATCTCCATCAAGTTGACTGCTTCCACAAGACAAAATGTTCTGTCAGCTCAACATTCAGCTACATTTCATAGGTTATGGAATCACTGCGCAGCTACTACCCAGATCTTCAACAATTTGCTTCAGGCACCTACTATCCAAATTTGGTTTAAGTATCAAACACTGTGGTTAAAGGTGAGGTCTTTATAGATCACTTGGTTTGGGTGGGAAGGGGAACAAGTTCTAGACTGAGTTCTCCATGAAAAAACTGCAGAAGTCTCTGGTTCTAGATTACTTCCTGTATTTCAGTATTAACTCCCTATCCCCACCTCCATCATAGCAATCCTGTAGTTTGTTGTGTCCATGCTCTACCAGTTATACTCCGATAGCTTTACATGCAATTATAAAAGCAATACTATGTAGTTCTTTTGCTTCATTGAAAAAGGAACGTTGTGGGTCTCATGACAGCACGTGAATATCACCATTAACTCAACATAAGGCCCCAACTTCAAAATTTTATTTTCCTACATCACAGGGTGTATTATACTCTGCAAACACAATTTAACACCAGGCTGTTCAAATCAATGGTGCTACTAGCCTCTTATATATCCCAGCAAGAACAAATCTTAATAGCCAGTGAAAAATGGATGATTTCATAATGAAGGATGAAAACCCCTTTTGTGTCTGGGGATCTATTATTAACCAATTCGCAGCCTAGCAGCTGGACAGATGGGTAAGGTTCTAAGAATGGATGTCCTGTGCCCCATAAGCAGACTGTAAACAAAAGATGTGAGATCTGCTTTTATCAGTGAGGTCAGATAATTCAGTAGTCCTGACCCATGGCTGGCCACCCCTTCCCCAAGCCTTTCAAATTTAATTTACTCTTACAGATTCATCCACTCCACTACGTACCCCTGGGCAGTAATCTGATACAAGTCCTCTAAATAAAAGCACTCATATTCTCAGGTATGGAATGAAAAAGCCGCGGTCTTGAGACTCAAGCAGCAGATCTCCATCCTAGCCCAGCTCTAGGAAAACTCCTGTCAGGCGACACTGCCTTTACCTGTGTTTTTAGGGATATCAAATGAGACCGAACACAAAACAAACAAAACTCATGCTCTGTAAGTAAGTTACATCAATAAATATGTGAAGAATTTCTGGGCTCTACATACTGCACACTACACAGCACCAGATTTGTCAGCTCGAACCCACAGAGCAATCAATGTCAAGCATTTGCCTCTTTGCTGACATAATTAGCTTTACAGGTCAGTCCTCTCCACCCTTAAAAACACCCTCAGACTACATTCAGTTCAGAAGTTAATAGCTGCCAGCCTGCTGTATGGGCTTCTTGTACGTGGCCCTGTCACTTCACAATAGTGCCACTGCCACCCCTTTTACTATATATACCACACCTCACGTCACCCCGCAGCCTCTATTACCCATGAGAGCAGCAGTGAAATTAAGATGATGTACTTCTAGAGTTCATTTTGGTTCAAATTCTAACTCCATCATTTAGCTCATAAAGCCTTCAATGACTTTTTCTAATGTCTACAGCAATGACTGCTTGAATCCATTAGAAATGAATTACGTATTAACCTGCTATATCTTTTATCATTTAAAGAAATTATTTAAATCACTTTTGCTCTTTACATTTTATGGCTTTTCTAAATTTAAGGTAATTAGTACTTTGCGAGACTTGTAAGAGAAAAAACTAAAGTCTAATATGAAGCATCCTTCCTAACAAAGCCTGACTTATCTATTAAAAAAGAATTGTGATGGTATGTTTGTTTGTTTGAACTGTACCTCAAGAGTCACCCAGCTGTGGATGAAGGGATAGTTCTCACAAGTATTTCAGCTAATGAAGGAATGAAAAAGAATCAGAATGCCTCATTTTGAAACTCCTAACTAAATAAAATAAAATAAAAGCCTGTGTGAAATTAAAATCTCTCTATGAACAGAACCAAACTGTCCATTCACGTGTCTAACAGCACTTTTGTTCCCAATCTGGTAGCTGCTAAGATGACTGATTATGATTTTAATAAAAATCGCAGAAATGGAACAAGAGAAGAAGGACATGCAAAGCAACGGATACATCTAAACAGTTAACAAGACAGCTTCCTGGGAGGGTTGCCAATTATTAAATTTACAAATTCTGTAATTAAAAACTTAATAAAAACGAGAGAGGGAAGCAAAGCCGGAAAGAAACCAAATTTAGGAAAAGAATCAAACACATTAATACAAATCAGGCTTTGGTTTATTTGTAAAAAAACTTCTATACACCGTATCTACTGGTCCTAAGACCTAAGACCCCTTTTGCCGATAGTATTGACTTTGTCTTTGGGTTCCGGTCTAGAATCAGAAAGGAATGACTGCTGTGTCTCCAAAATGCTTGCCGTATAACGGAAAAGTAATCTGTGCACTGGAGAATTAGAGTCCCTAAATGTGGTGGCTTTTCTTATGCATGGGTGACTCTGCTCTCGGGATATTCCCATCATTTTAAAAGAACGCTAAAAAACACAAATGCTATAGAAATTACACAACACTGACAATCTTAAATAGAACCAGTAGGTGGCGCACTAAAACAGATATTAGTGCTTTAGACACCAGCAGTAAATTGAAATTTGCCAACCTAAGGATCTTTAAACTAAGTGGGTTTTTAACCAGGCTCAGGAATTGTTAGCTATTTTATGTGGGTATCACAGAGATGAGAGGGCCCCAAATGTAGTTCTGTTTTTTTCTCACAATTATTTCCCAATCCTAATGCTTTTATATCTTAGTTGTATTTAACTAGCTTAGCAAGAAATACATTCCAAACAAAGCAATCCCAGGATACCAAAACTGCATGAGAAAAAAGGGGGCAAACCTGGTTAAAACAAAAACAAAAACCCATCAAACTTCCAAGTTATCAAGGTGCTTAAAAGCGAAGATGTAAGAACATCATCATTGCCAAAACAAATTTTCTGTAACTGGAGCAAATGTCATCTTTCCCAACTGTTTATTTTGCTGGGAAGGGCAGATAGAACCAAAATTTTCCTCCACAGAAACAAACACATTTCCCTTCAGTCTCTCCACTCACACCTCTGACTTTTCAGACTTCAAAAAAAAGAGTCAGATTTTTGCTAAAACACAAAATGGCACGATTACATATTAAAAAGTGTTGGTGAATCATTTACACGGTGTTTCAAAAGCAACATAGTTCCGTCTCAGTCCTGTTCAGTGCTCTGTGAGGCCTACTGAACAACTGCTTTGTGAGGGTGCTTAGAAACACACACAGCCCTTTAAGGAAGAGGAGGTTGGTGTCACCAAGCCGCCTTTGGCAGTAGTTTGTCTTGAAGCGAAAGCATGTTTTATTATAGGAATAACCTTATAAATGACTGCCCCATCCTTAGAGGCATGATGGAGAGGTAGACACACAGAGAGGTGTGTCTGAAGGAAGTTTTTTAGGGACAGAGCAGAATCTGCTTCGAACATTCTCCCTTTGTGTCTCATTTTTATACACTTTCCGTATCTTTCTTTCCTTTCTCAGATCCTCTTCGGGACCCTGCATTATCCTCCCCCAATCCAGCCTGACCCCAAAGCTCCAAATTACCTGCATCCCTCAAAGCAAACCTTTGTCTCTAAACTGACCTTAGCCAGGTGTTAAGGAGAAAAACAGTATGCTCAAACTGACCCCGCATCGGTTAGTGCCCCTTTCCAATTTTCTCCAGGGGTTTGGATGTCAGGAGGAAGTATGTTGCTTGCCCCCACCCTTTAGGCCCCAAAGGAACTTCAGGGGAAAAAGAAACAAAACAAAACAAAACAAAAATCATCTGTGTTTGTGTAATCCTTGGTCAGGAGGAGAATAAGGGCAGGCAGGCAACATCCCTGAACTAAACTTCCTCTCC